GGAAGGAGTTAAGAGATAAAGGAGAAAAGAATCTCAACTTAGTCCTTGATCTAAGCATTTTTCAGAAGCCAAATGAATTTATGAACTTTTAAATTATATGCCAAAAAAATAATTTTTTTCCTTAAGACGGTATTAGTAGAGTTTCCATCACATTCAATCAACATATTACTTTCTAATAAAACTCCCACTGACAATTATATAATCTGGTAGTTCAAATGCAACCCAAAATCATTGTCTTTTGCCTCTGTGTACATAGTCAATAATGCCAGATGACATTTGTGGGGCAAGGTTGGCTAATTTATAGTGTTAGGTGTTGTTAGTTAACATGATGGCACAAAATAATTCCAATGCCTCAACTATGTAAAATGTGTCAGGCTGCAACAGAATCCAAGAAATACTGTTGCACACAACCCCACTTCCAAGCCCCGGATAGTGGACAATTGAATGTTTTCATACCTTTTCACATTCTTATATGGCACCTGAATTAGACCAGGTATGAGGACCCATGACTTCCCCTAGTCTCCTCCCCTTTGGGGCTTCACTGAACTAGTCCTCTAGAATCTGGTCTTTTCTGTGCCAGTATCTCCCACCACCACTTTTACTCAATCAGAATCAGAAACACAAGGGACTCACAAATCTATTTAATTTTGAAAAAATATATTGAAAGATAAAGAAGTTTGACATGTAATTCATGGGAAGTCTTCAGACAGAGAACAAGATCAGGAACATGTTGAAAGTACTCGTGGCCCAAACAGATGTGGCAGGCAGCACAGGGAGCAGAGTTGGGTGGAAAGCAGTCACAGAAACTCAGGAAAGACCAGAACAAGAAGAGGGCCAGGGGCCTGGGGTTTTGGCTCAGTGGTAGAACACTTGACTAGCATGTGTGAGGCACCGGGTTCAATTCTCAGCACCACATATAAAATAAATGAATAAAATAAAGACCCATCACAACTAAAAATTGTGTGTGTGTGTGTGAGTGTGCAAAAGAAGAGGGCCTGGCATCTGCTGCTCAGGCACTTTGGGACTCAGGTCTTGATGGGGGACAGGGCTGGCAGAGGTGGATTCCTCACAGGCCTGAGAGAAGTGAGGCTAGGAACTTGCACAACGGTGAGAACAGCAGTAGACCATGGAACAGTGGTAACAGGAAGAAAAATGTTGGAATCAGTGCATGAGCCCTGAAGGAAAGAGAAAAAATAAGTCATAAGTTAAATCCCTAGAGAAAGTCAGCCCCCTGCCCAATACCCCTGGGGCCTCTCTGCAACTCAGAACATTAAGGGTAATTTTGTACAACTACCCACTCCTCACCATCTCTCCTGGTATCTGATTAAAGAGGATACTGCACTAAAGTGAACACAAAGCTTCCACAGAGGCATGTGGAAGAAGGCCCCAGTCCCATCAGCAGTCTAAGTGCTTTGGTGAAGCACATGTCACATAGTTAACTGGACAGATAAGAACTGTAACCTCCTGTCATCCCACCTAATACCCAGCTCAGCACAAGAAAGACTCATGGCCTCCCTAATTTCTGCAATCTACTGCTATCCCTAGTTTGGCTCCCCCTTTTTACTGAGATAAGAAAAGTTACAACAGAAACACTTAGTGCTAGCCCC